AGACATCATACACCTTTGAAATGTAGAAGGTGCATTACATAATCCAAATGGCATCCTTCGATAAGCAAAGGTGCCAAAAGGGCATGTGAATGTAGTCTTCTCTTGATCCTCGGGTAGGATAGGGATTTGGAGGAATCCCGAATACCCATCCAAGAAGCAATAGTGACTATGTGAAGCCAACCTTTCCAAGATTTGATCGATAAAGGGGAGAGGGAAGTGGTCCTTCCGAGTGGATTTGTTCAATTTTCGATAGTCTATGCACATTCTCCACCCGGTGACCGACCTTGTAGAAATGGTCTCACCCTTATCGTTCTTGATAATGGTCATGCCCCCTTTTTTTGGAACAACTTGAACCGGGCTAACCCACTTGCTATCGGAGATAGGGTAGATTATGCCCGCTTCAAGAAGTTTCAAAACCTCTTTTTTAACAACTTCTTTCATGTTGGGGTTGAGCCTTCTTTGGTGCTCAATTGAGGAGTCATGATCATTATCAAGCAAAATCTTGTGCATGCATATCGTGGGACTTATCCCCTTAATGTCATCAATGGCATACCCAATGACACTCCTATACTCCCTCAACACAACTAGGAGTTTCTCAAGGGAAGTGTCATCAAGGTTGGTATTGACAATAACGGGATAAGTCTCATTATCATCAAGAAAAACGTATTTAAGTGAAGGGGGAAGGGGTTTAAGTTCAACCTTAGGAGGAGGCGTAGACCTCTCCTCTTTTACCTCCACCTTAAGTGCTTCAAACTCCCTTGCCTTGCCATGTAGGGGTTGGTCTAGCAACAACTTGTACCCCTTAGCTTCATCATCATCATTGTACAAACTTTCCGTGAGGATCGCTTGTAGAGTATCTTTGCTATTGTTCATCATCTTCAATTCCTCCACTTCTCGGTCAAGAGTATCGATTCTATTGATATCCTCATACATAGGCTTCCTCATGGCTTGCGAGAATGAGAAAGAAATTTTCTCATCTCCCACATTCAATGTTAGCTTGCCTTGTTTCATATCAATTACCACTCCCGCCGTGTTCAAGAACGACCTTCCCAAAATGAGAGGAACCTTGTTGTCCTCCTCCATTTCCATCACCACAAAGTCACAAGGTACAAAAACTCTTCCCACTTGTACTGGTACATCTTCAAGTATTCCCATTGGTAATCTAACCGAACGATCGGCTAATTGTATTGAGATTCTTGTTGGCTTCATCTCACCAACTTTTAAATTTTTCGCAATTGAGAAGGGCATCAAGCTTACACTTGCCCCAAGATCACAAAGAGCATCCATGGCTTCCATATCTCCAATCTTCACCGGAATTGCATAGCTACCCGGGTCACCAAGCTTTCGGGGAAGCTTGTTTTGAATGATTGCGCTCACCTCCATTGGAAGGGAGATGGTTGCACTCTCTTCAAGCCTACTTTTGTTGGACAAGAGATCTTTTAAAAATTTCGCATATGTAGGCATTTGTGACATAGCATGAAGAAAGGGAATGTTCACTTGGAGCCCTCTCATGACCTCAAGGAACTTTGAAAACTTCTCATTCAATTTTTTCTCTACCAACCTATGAGGGAAAGGAATAGGTGGCTTGTAGACTCTCATTGGGGGTTTCTCCACTTCAACTTCAACTCCCTCTCCTTTCTTTGTGTCTCCCTCAACACTCTTTTATTTTTCTTTTCTCTCAACTTCTACCACCTCATTTTCAACATCATTCTCACTTCTCACCTCCACACCCTCATCTCTCTTTTGTGGCACATCTTCACTCATTACCGGACCTTCATACCCTCTCCCGGACCTCAATGTGATAGCCTTGACATGCTCCTTCGGGTTCACAACCGTTGAGCTTGGAAATTGACCACTAGCATTGGAGGTAGAACTCCCAACTTGTTGTGCAATTTGAGCTAGTTGATTCTCAATTATTTTGTTGTGCGCTTGAAGTTGTTGGATGTTGGAGCTCATTTCTACATTGCTCTTCCCTTGTTGATTTATGAAAGACTCAAGAGCGGCCTCAAGGGAAGTCTTTTGGGGTGGAGGAGGTTGTTGGTTGAATTGCTGTCTTTGTTGGTTTGGATGGCGGTATGGGGCTTGTTGATTTTGTTGATTTTGGTTGTAGATGTTTTGAGGAGGGTTGTTGTAGTTGGATTGTTGGTTTTGATTGGGTTGTCTCCACCCTTGGTTTTGTTGCCTCCAACCTTGATTGAAAGGTTGCTCATTTCTTTGGTTCACGGCCGCAACTTGCTCATTAGTAGCATTGCAATATGAAGCCATGTGATCATTACCCCCACAAGTCTCACAAGACATGACTTGTGGTTGTGGTTGTGAAGAGGAGGTACCGCTTGAGGAGGTTGCTTGGTCTAGCTTGTGAGCTAGCATATCAAACTTTGAGGCAATGAGATCTATTGCACTCAACTCATGCATACCTTTCTTCTTCGGTTGACTTTCTCTTCTATCATATCTATAGGCGTAATGCCTTGCAACTTCTTCAATCATATTCTCGGCTTCTTCCACCGGTAGCTTTTTAAGACTACCACCGGCTCCGTTGTCAAGATTGGCCCTTGAGGTAGGAGTGAGACCGTCGTAGAAGCTTTGAATAATCATCCATAAAGGCAACCCATGGTGTGGACAATTCCTCTTTAGATCCTTGAATCTTTCCCATGCTTCACCTAAGGTTTCATCATCCTCTTGAGTGAAGCTTGTAATCTTCCTTCTCAATTCCGCGGTCTTTTCGGGCGGACAAAACTTCCCAAGAAATGCTTTGGTAACCTCTTCCCATGTTGTTAAGGATCCTTCTTTCACGGACCTCAACCAACACTTAGCCTTGTCCCTAAGAGAGAACCGAAACATATGCATCCAAATGAATTCCTCCGTGAGGTTGTTTTGCTTGATGGTAGTGCACAACTCAAGGAAGTTGTCTAAATGAGCTAGAGGGCACTCATTTGCACTCCCCCCGAACTGTTCACTTTGGATCATCCTTATGAGTTGAGGAGAGAACTCATAGTTGTTTGCATTGGTGGTGGGAAGAAGTATGCCACTCCGAAGTTGGAATGCATCGGGGTGGTCATAGTCTTGTAGAAGTGGAGGAGGCGGTGGGTTGGCCATCTCTTGCTCGTTGTCAAGATTATCCTCCGACTCGGAATCCGTATAAGCTAGAGAAAAATCCGGCGTGCCTTGTAGGAGCCTTCTTACGTTCCTCAAAGTTCTATTTAACTCCGGATCTACGGGGATAAGCGGTGATTGCTTACTCCTCCGTGTCATGCACAGTCAAACAAAGCTAAGGAAAACGTTAGCAATGACTATCACAAAGCAAACACGCTTAAACAAAAACAAAATAAGAAGATTATATACATATACACAAATCTAGACTCATTCAACAATAACTTATTCAATGTGACTTTGCCTCCCCGGCAACGGCGCCAAAACTTGATAGGACGTCGTCAACCTATCAAGAAATAAGACCTAACTCGATCCTACTCAACTAGTAGCAAGGGCAAGAAAGGGTCGAACCCATGAGAGGCGTTGAATCAACCACCAAATGTTAATGTTTAAACAAGCTAGATTAAGTCGGGGGTTTTAAGTTGGTATTACGTCACACTATTCTAATTCAAATCAACTAATTCTAAGAGGTGATTAACAATATTAAGAAGGCCTAGGGCATGGGTTACACCACTCAACTTCATCACGGACCACAAGTAGCATGCATAGAAATGGTGATTTAGGGGATAAATTAGGGGAAGTTATCAAATGCACCCAACTACTCGCTCAAGCTAGAGGGATTACTTGACATCAAAACCATAACCTACTCTCGTGATTATGGGCAAGAAACAAGTGTTAAAACATCCTCACGATAACATGCAAATTCCCTTGACTAGAAATTCCTATTCTCATGGCAAATCAAGTCAATCAAGCATAAGGGAGCTTCCTCAAGTTCATCTCTCGATCCTTCGTTGAGGAAGCTAGATAAATAATTCAAGCAATGGCCAATTACAAGAATTAACAATGAAACCTCTTAAACTCAACTAATTAACACCCCACAATTAACAAATTAGTACATGCAACAAGTGTTGGTGATTACATTGAGGGTTCACCCAAACCCTAGAAATTAGACTACTCACAATCCATGGAAGTTAAAGCAATTAAAGATTTCAAGGAATTCATGAACAAATTAAAACTAAGAATTAAGTAGAATCTAACAATTAAACATGCAAAGAACAACCAAACAATTAATAAAAAGCAAGAATTAAAGATAGAAAAGAGAAAGAAAGAGTAAGAAAAATTACTAGAAGCTTCAATAATTGACTAACAATGGTGGAACTTGTCTTCTACAATGATTGGATTGAAAACCTTCAAAACAAGAACTAAAATATATGCTAATTTGAGGATTTTTGTGTTTCAAACTAAGAGGAGTATGAAAATCTGAAAAAATTGGGAACCCCTCTAAAATGGTCCAAAGGGGCTATTTATACTACCCCCTAAAATAAGAGGACGGAGAAAACAAGAAACGGGTAAACTGTAGGTCTGCACGGACGTGCTGAAGTTGGCACGTCCGTGCAGACCAAGGCAGAAACTCAGTTTAAGACGACCTGCTGCAGCACGGGCGTGCACCTTTGGCACGTCCGTGCTGCATCATCTGCACGGACGTGCAATATTTGGCACGTCCGTGCTGCCTCATAATCACGGAAACACGTCCGTGCTGCATCATCTGCACGGACGTGCAATATTTGGCACGTCCGTGCAGGCCTTGGCAGAAAGATGGGTTCAGGTCTGCACTCCTGCACGGACGTGCAACATCTTGCACGGCCGTGCAGGGTCTTCTGGGCCCTTTTCTTCGTGTTTTCTTCTACGATGCTCTTTTACTTGAATTCTTTCCATCATTTCCTTGCTTCTAACCTCGGTTTGGTAACCATGGGCTTCATTTGGTCGTCTTTGGACCTAAAATCTCAACAAAAACACTAACAACCCGTGAAGCATAGGATACACAAAAATTGCATAATAATAGGGTAAAAGTGAACCAAAACACAAATTTGTTCAGGTAAACTAGGTTCAAATACGCCCTAAAACCGCATAAAATAGCAAGTTATCAGTCGCAAGCCAATAAGCCAACTCCCTCGGAAGCTACGTGTCAACTAATGCATACAACCCAGCAAATCCCATCTCCTTCACTATCTTCCTTTTTTTTCTTCTGCAGAATCCATTAATAACTATACCGAAACTCTCCACGCGACAATTAACATTTTCAAGCTGATTAGAAAATACATAAGAAATTACTGATTTTTTTTTTAAATACAACTACCAAGGCATTTTACCCTTTTCAGCTCCTCCTCGCATCTGTGAATGACTTTGCCTAGTTGCTTCATCTTACCACTCTCACTAAGTGTATTTTAACCTACACATACAACCTTAAATAAAATTCACCTCCTCCACAATGCCAAACCAATTACAACATACCCATCAAAAGTAATTCAGAACTCACCCTATACACGACATCATCAAGTTTAATTTTTTACCCACCTTCGGCAAATCCCTCCCACCAGAATCATCATCAACATAAGACTCAACAAATTCATCATAGTCCTGCATTTCCAATTCACATATCTATTACAATCACATTAAGCTAACAACTAGTGTGGGCGAATCCTTAACAAATTCAAATCACCATGTTCACACAATAACATATCAAATCACTAATAAATTTGACTCAAACAATTTGCATGCTTCACTAATTCACAAGCTTCAGCAATGAACAATTTTCACTAAAACTAACATGCTTCACCAACTTATCACCAACTAAGTTCAAAACCACACAGATATTGGCTCGATGTCATTCCTATCAATTTAGGGTTTCCCCCGTCAATTTAGATCATGCAAACTACCAATTCAGATTGATTTATGGATTGAGGGATCAACATAATTAGGGTTTTCGCCTAATTAGATCATGCAAACTACCAATTTATATTCTGGGATTTGAGGGACAACATACAAGCACTGGAATTATTAATTACTAATAGCTTTTGATTTCAATGGAAACATTTCACAATTACTTTATTTAGCATCGCTAACCTTATTAGCTGAACCACTCGCCACATGTCCACCTCTTCTTCCACCCCTTCAACCGCCCCTTCCACCACCTTTTCTACTTCTACCACCTGCAACCGAAAATAAATTAACAAAACCTTAAATTCGTATATCAATTCCTGTTTATTAATAATTTTAACAAACCCCTAATTTCGTATATCAATTTTACCTGACATCGCAACTGTTGATTCCTTCAACCGCTCGCTCAAATCCAATTGTTGACGCGCTCGACTATGATTCCTTTGCCGCTCCAGACCACACTCCTTCGTCGCTACAGAAATTGAAAGAGTTGTTTCAATGAATTTCGTACACTTCACTAAGTTTAAGCTTGGTTTTGCGCAAGACTTTTGAAAAGTTTTCCGACAAGATTACCAGTGACTTTTTTTTAGAGAGAGAAAAATGAAGAGTTTTTACAACGGTAAAATCTAGAGAGAGGATATCTACTTATTTGTTTTTACATTCAGTAACATTATCCAGTTACTGTGACAACTTGAAGAGAAAATTACTGTACTGTCCCTGATATTGGACACATGTGTCTATATTGGGTAGCGGTCCATCACGGCTCCCCAGATAACTAACTAATACTAGTATACTACGTACACTACCACTCTACCAGTAGTATAACTCGATTAACAGCACAAAATTTCAAGAAACTCTTTCTAATCGAACTTCCAAGGTCGAACAAATCCCACCAATGGCAACACAATTAATCTCTCCCTTTAAATCAACCTTATCCCCAATTTTTACAACCCCGGAAAATTCATCAGCCCCCTTTTCATGGAAATTAAACCCAATTTATAATCCACCCCACAAATTTTCTGCACCTAAGCTGATTTCTGGTGGTGGGTTTTTGAAGAGAGAAAGAAGCAAAATCAGCTTCAGAACCAACTCTTCTTCTTCTTCTTCATCTACATCATTTGGTAACTTTGATAAGAAAAATGGGAGTATTATGGTTGATACTTGCTTGGTAATTCCTCCTCCAAATTATAAGAAGCCTCGTGCAATTATTAAGTTTCTTGGTGGAGCTTTTATTGGGAAGGTTTCTCATGTCACTTACAGGTTTGATTTCTGTTACTATGGATTTATTTTTGGAGTTTTCATCATCAAATTCTATTTAATTGGATATTAGCATTTGGGCATTTGATGGTGATTTATGTTGTTCATGGAGTTTTAATGGATCAGCAATTTGGAATAGAGTTTAAAATAGGGAGACATCTAAGGCAGTGATGTAGATTGGATTTGATTCGAAAGCTCGGATTTTGTCCTCAGGTTTGGCAAACTAAACTAGTTGACATTCGTTCTCTAGGATGCGTTCTATTCACTTGATTTTTATTTATATGAACTTATTAGCTCTTATTAGAACTTATTTTAGTTATAAATTAAACTTGGGTAGCCCTAATTAACCCTTATCTGAACTTATCTAAACTTATTTTTCATAAACTTATCTTATCTAAACTTAGTAACCCCTATTTGAACTTATCTGAACTTATTAACCCTGAAATAAGTGGAAATAAGGTGGACATAACAAGGCCTCAGTGTACATGATTGCTCATATTCTTGTGTGTGTGTGTGTTTGGGGGGGGGGGTGTTTTCCTTTATTTTCAGCTGTTTAGTTGATCTATGTAAGGAGTTGTTTGCGTTATACATGTGTAAGTGGCATTTGGGACTTTGATTTTTGGATTTAATTTTGTGAATTTATTGTTTTTGTTGCTAGAGAGAGAAAGCTTGGATACTGAGTGTTACTGTTCTTTGTGATTTTTGTTTTTGTTTCAGCTATTTAATTGAGTTATTGGCGAAGGAAGGGTATCTTGTTGTGCTAGTTCCTTATAATGTGACATTCAATCATGAAGATGCAGCTAAGCAGGTTTATGAGAGGTTTAATGCCTGCTTGGATATCCTTCTCACTTCTGGATTGTCAGAAGCGAAACTTGAAGCTTCCCAGCTTGTTGGCCTTCCTATTTTCTCTGTCGGCCACAGGTCGGTTTTAGCTTTTATAGTTCTTCAGCCTTGTGCTCATGCTTTGCTTATTGATTGACATTTGCAAAGTTACCGCTTCTGGCATAGGATGATAGGAACATGCCACTAGTCCTCGGTTAAATAACAATCTTTTCTTTCTTTGTGATTCTGGAAGTTGTGATCTCAACAAAATTTTGAGCAATCTAGTTTCAGCTTGTTACCAAACATGGATATATGGTTTCCTAGATAGCGGTGGATGTGGTGTTGGTGTATTTTTATATCATTATGTCCACACTCATCCTTTGGTTTCTTGTTCTGTAACTGTCAGTAGATGAAGGATTATGTCGTGTTTCTGTGATTGATCGATTGTTTTGGCCTTCAGTCTGATGAACATATAACTTTTTACCATTAGAGTTGAATGCTATGCGTTGATACCTTTAATCAGTATACTTCTGTCAACCTATTGGAGACTGGGAATGTTTCAATCATTGAATTTGCCAGTTAACCAAATGATGCCTGTGCCAGAAAATTAGGTTGAATTAGACACTTGTTGGATACTAATGCTATATCATTCTCACTACATTTCCAGAGATTGTTGACCATAGTTAAATTGGTGGCTTCTTGACTTGCTGCTGGTAAAAAAAAAATATTCTTCTCCACTGATCACTTATTTTCTTTAAATGCCCTGCAGCAATGGAGCACTTCTCCAAGTTCTGACAGGAAGCTACTTTTTTGACAAACTACCAAAGGTTACTTCCTTTCTTACCTTCTTATTTTCTGCAGGAGTTTGGCATATTTGAGCAGGAATTTTGATTTCACAAACTTGTAGCATGTAGGGAAAAGAAAGTTGTAAATTATAATCTGTATTAACTTCAGCATTTTGCACAATGTGACGAAGTATGTATGTCTTGTGGAAGGCTAATGCCATAGTTTCGTTCAACAACCGGTCAGCAACAGAGGCAGTGCCATACTTTGAGCAGGTAATAGTTTTGCTAACTCATACTTTGTACTTCGTATCTCAGTATCATTTAGAATTTATAATACAGCTGAATATTCTTAGTTTCCATTTGCTTTTGTCTAGCTAGAGTATCAGCTGCTCTTAGGGATCAGGTACTTATGTAAAGCTCTTTGATTTCCCCAATCCCCACAGTATAATCTATGCTAATAATAACCAAGTCAAAATTTTCTATGCAAACTCTTGTGCTTGAATGCTTTCTATATTTGTAACCGGATTCTAGGTCTTTGGATTAGGGATTAGGCTTCTTCACATGTGATAAATAGTTGCTGCCAGGGTTGCTTGGTTGATCCTCAGTGATGATACTGTTCACATCACTAAATTGCAGATCTAAAAGCCAATTGAGACTCTGTTATACTGCAAAACCATGGATGTTAAGCCTTTTGGGTACTCAGTTACTATTGTTTAATGTGTCGAAGGTCTACACTCGCTTTATCCCTTTCAATTTGTTTTTCTTGTCATTATCATATTATTCCAATGATGATCATTATGACTTGGAATCTAGTGAAATATTGTTTGTGACTTCTGACAATGAAGCAGCATTTGAAATAAAGAATTAGCTTTTGGCCTTCTACGTCAAGGAATAATTACTCATGTTTTGGAATTTAGTGATAATTGATAACCAATATCAAGCTCATGTCTGTAAGTCTGCTCTATTTGACCTCATATGTTGTATTTTGTAGACAAGCAGATTTTTGCCCCTTTTTTTTTAAAGACTTTCATGGAACTGTACCTGATTGTCCTTGTATGTTTCACAATCTGGTGTAGTGTTGCATGCATGGCATAGTAGGGAATAACACGAGCTTTCCACCTTTGGTAGTTAATATGCTCTCTTGATGGAACTTGTGGTATTTATTTTGCAGTTGGGCCCTTTGATGAGTCAGGTTATGCCAATGGTGGAAACGACTCCAATGTTTTCAATGGCTGCTAGTGTATCAGGTAGTATTAATAATTTCTTCTGGACTTCATATGCAATATTTTTGTAGATTTGGAAACATGCTAGTTCAACTTTTTTATTCTGTAAGTGATAGCTATATCCTCCCAGGCTCTGTCTCTGATCATCTATGACAGCAAACTAGGATTTGATCTTGCATTTGCACCTTATGGACTGTACTTCTTAATACATTAACAAGATTTAATATTACGATATATAGGGAATTCCACTTAGCTAAATAACATGTAAATTTTGTTTATTACTACTGTCTGTATGCTATTGTGATAGGTTCAACTTGATACTGGTGTCTTGCATTCGCATTTAGACGATATGTTGCTTTGGCCCAATGAAGATGAAGATTAGCTAATTCTACTTAATAGTATTTGATGTGTAGACTATTTGAATGAGGGACCCTTCTTGAAGACATGGTGGGTTCTCGGCCCATATCTGAATCCATTTAAATTATGAAACAGGACAGTAACTAGGCATGGTGGGTTCACTTTTGGTTCATGTAGCCGACCCCACTTATGGAATTATGGCTTTGATTGATTGATTGACTGTAACTAGGTCATTATTACAGTTGAAATGTTACAACTTACATGAACACCTCTATGATTTAGTGTTTTACAAAGTTTGCCGGCTTTTGGCAAAACCAAAGAGTGTTTATATCTTGTCCAATTTGTCTTGGAACTTCATGCCCAATCAACTTTGAACAGGACATTTCAGACTACTGAACAGCCCTCAATTTGACTAGTTGGATACTAGAAATGTGACACTGTAGGCATAATCACAATTGATTTGGCTTGTATGTAGAATTGTAGAAATCCTGTAAAGCTGGAAAAGGCATTGAAAAACTTATTGCATGGGGTGCTCCTGTAGCACTTTCTAATAAATGTTTGTCAGAGAAGTTGCTTATTAATATGATCGTTTTCAGACATAATTAACTTCATGTGTTTTGCTGCTACCTTAATGCCATGAAATTTTCAAGGTATTTTGGTCTATCAGTCTATGGATCAGCCTTAACGAGTATTATAACCACTTGGACTATGACTATGACTATGACTTGAAGGACTATCCTGGTCATGGATTCAGCCTTTACATGGAACTTTTGAGCTACCTTTGGTCCATTAAATCAGCCTCATTGAGCACAAGTACACTGAGTACCACTTGAAAAATTTATCAGTATGTTCATGACTGCAAGGATTATCTTTGTTGTGGGACTGATTTTCTCCACTTAGTTATGGTACTAGTTATGTTTTAGATATTTGATGCCCCATCCTCATAACATTTCTCACAAGTATTTCAGGCCATAACGGCTATCTTTTCTCTTGATCTTGTAATCCTTTTTGCACTTTGCTGTTATTCTGTTTATTTGAAGTAGTTAGCACTTAGCACAAAGTCAATTAAGAGTCTGAGGTTTCTTATTAAGGATTGTTATTTATATTCCATTTCTTTTTATTGATATAGGAGATGCATGGAAGGCGTTACTAGATGGAGCTGGAGCAGTAGTAGCTCAGACTGATACCGAGTTGTTTTCTTCAGTTACTCAATTTGTTGATCAATTGCCATCGGTGCTAAATGAGGTATTCATCATGATTGAAGTATGCATTTTGTTTAAATCATTAATCATCTGCAGGTTCCATTCCTCTTATATTTAAATTGGTTTCAGAATACCAGAATACTATTCCATTACAAATTTTGGTATTCCAGATCCAAGATTTTGCTTCCTAATTTTGCATGATCTGATCAGGTTAGACAGGGAGTGTCAGAGTTCAAGCCAACACCTGCAGAAAATCGTGAACGTTGCAAAAGTTCATACAACGTCCCACACACATTACTGGTAGGTTAAGGTTCCCATGTCATCTTTAAAACGCATAAATTTGTCATTTACAATTTTACATTCCAGTAGTGTCCATCTCAGGTGAAGTTTAGTTTTGATACTATTGACGAGACTGATCTCCTCGAAGAGACTCTGAAGCCACGTGTTAACTCCATTGGTGGTACACTTCAGAAGCTCCAACTAAGTGGTAACCACCTTACACCATGCATACAGGTAATATTCAATATTCATTTAAAGTTCAAGTTTCTTCACAGTTCAAATGACTTTGGGAAGAGCACATAAACTTTTATTTGCTTCTCTAGAAATTATCCATGGTGAGTGGTGACCCTGAACTATGGCCAAAAGCCAGACCAACACTAACTTGTTTGCATTCTCCATAATACGTCCTAATTCGAAAAATCAAAGTTATGTCAACTTTAATATTTGAGTTGAGAATTACTTTGGAGAATGTCAAATTAGTCGGTTAATTTGGAAAATGGCCTATGTAGTACAGTGTTACCAGGGCTTCCCTTTCACAAAAAAAAAAATAAAAAAATTATGAAGATTTCTTGTTAAGAAGGGCAAAGATTAATGAAGCTAAACATGGAATGAACTCAAAGATAACTATCTGTAACTTTTGCTGACTACTGATTGAAATTGACAATAAGCTCCTCGAGTCTTTAAATGTCATCACTTTTGAGTTGGGATAGCTCGTCTGAAAACTACTTAATTGGATATTGTCATCCTCAGGATCCAAAATGGCAAGTGGGTGACCTCTACACACCGGTAGATGCTATCGCTCAAGGCCTAAAAACTGCTTCATTGAATGATACCAAAGTTCTCGCCCAAACCATAACCAATTGGTTCAAGCGTTTTGAAGAATAATACGATCAAGGCTTGCAGTGAATTATGTCCTGCATATTACAACATGATCTCATTGCAGAGAAGGAAAGTGTGATGAGTGCAGTTTTATTCGTTAGATGCAGGATGATTTGTGCCTTTGACTTCAGTGGCTTATGGTCCACTGTCAGTTAATATGGCGCTGTATTCACTGAAAAGGAACGAGGTTGATTATCTGGAAGGATAAATAAGATGCCTGGGAAGTTTGTAACTTGTAAGCATACATAATATACAAAAAATCATTGTGTTCTAGTAGATGGAAGCTTAGCCATCGTTTATCAAGTCAATATAATCCTGCTTGACTTGGTAATGATCAAAGTCAGGGGAAAAAAAAAAAAAAAAATCTTAAATAAGCATGCAACTTGGTTTTGGAAGGATGAGGGATTCATACCCAAGGATGTTAGGAGTTTTTTTTATTTAATTTGTATATATGTTAATAGTTGGGAAATAATTGAACTTACTTATAATTAATTTAAGTTTTCTTGTTAAATATATTATTAAATAGTAAGTCAAAGCCCAAAACATCATGTTAAATGCACATCCAAATCCATGACGAGGATGTTCACATTTTATAATCCGCGTTCATTGTCAATATCTTGACATCAAATGATAGGGAGAGAATCGAGCAAGAGATACATTAGATAGAAAATAGGAGAGAAAAATTTTCGCCAACATTTTCTTTTTCAATTTGATGTTCACACCACAAACACGCTCCACAATGAAGTACAATTGAGCTTGGAAAGTTGGAGTATAATTTTTTGCATAACTGAAAAATTGTAAATCATCCGCCCTCAGTTACTCTCTCTTACCTTTTTTTTTTTTTTAATTTTTTTTATTTATGCACAATATTTACACATTCCTCACTTATTTTCGAACTCACCCAATTTGTTTATTTTACGAGTACCTCTTTGACTTCGTATACCTTTTTATCTTACACGTTTACACCCACTCAACCTTTTCAAACTTTTATAAAAACTAATGTATACTAGAAGAGTCAATTCGAATGACCGAGTTGGGTGTATTTCCGGCTTGAGTCATACTAATTCATTATGCCAATGCAAGTCAAAATTAGGATCAGATCACTTTCAAATCCCGTCGAATTGATTTTTGCTACCTCTAATGAATACATTATATATTAAACAAATCGAACACATAACAAAGGCACCATCCGTTTATCATTTCTTTTAGCTTATTTTTTCAAACATTTTTAACCCAACATGTAAACAAAAATTAAAAACATAAAATAAAAAACAAAAAATAAAAATTAAAAAAATTGGACACGCTCTTAGTCTTATTTGACATTGTCCAACTAAAATAAATGGATTAAGTTTAGTTTAGTCCGCCCAAAAAAGGAGGCCCCAATCTTCAAATATTTGATTTGTTCAACCAAACTATTTTAATCAAAAAATCAAACTACCCCAATTTTCCACAGTACGTTTGAAGAAAGAAGAAGCCGTGTTCTTAAAATAACGGGCAATTTCTTCCTTGCTTCCTGCATTTTTCACTCTAATTTTCTCTCCCCTTCCAATTTTTCTTCATTATTAAACCTTCCCTTAATCCCTTCTTTCTATTTTCTTAATCCCCAATTAATTTTCCTCCAATTTTTCACTTACCCATTTTATTTCTTACAAGTTTTCAGGTACTTTTATACGAATTATTTCTTTAATTTTTTGCTCGAGTTCATATTTTCTTGATTATGTTGGTTGAATGAGTAACTAAAGTGATGTGATTTACTTTTTAAGTCTTGATTTTTTCTGGGTATTTGCAATTCTTCATTTTTGTTTCTGGGTTTTTCTGCTGTTGTCGATCTCTTAGCTTGTAAATAAGCAGCATGATGTTATGATGGAAGTAATTGAAGTTTACTGCTTTGATTTTCGACTTTTGATTGAATTTTTCGATTTCAAATTAAAGTTTAAATCAAATGTTTGATCGTATTGGTTACTGAGTGCTGGTCATTGTATTGAAGTGCTTTTTATATTTCGAATTTAGATTGAACTCATCTCAATTTTTGGGTAATTTACTTTTCTTGGATGTATGTTGAGTATGATTTGGAAATATATGACATGTTTATAATACTTCTTATTTTATATAGCGTTGGATTTATAGTACACCCGGGTGTATAATGAAAATTGTCGAAATTGTTGATGTAATGAATTGATTTTTGCCCTTAATTGAAGTGTAAGTTTCATTATTTGTGTTTTTTCTTGCTTTGTAAGTTGTTAGCTTGGGTCTTTGTAAGTCAATGGAATCTAGAGAATTTTCAAATTAAAGTTAAAAGGGATCCCTTTTATGTCTACCTTTCTTGAATGTTTTTATATTCTGATCCAATTGAGATCTTGTCTTGGCCAAGTTTAAGGGTTTATTGATTCTTCTTTTTGAAATTGCAGTACGGAGTATTAATTCACTAGATTCTATTTTAAGATGTTTGTGTTTTGTATTTCGGGTTGAGTGATTGATTTGTCATGTTTATTGTATGGTTATTCCATCTTATGAAGTTTTCTGCTGCTTATTCATTTTGGTATTGGGATGATTTGCAGAAACTTTGTACAGGCCTTGTGTAACCAGATTTGTGCCATTTAGCAGTTTTTCTAGGCATCATACATTTTCGACAATGATTGGTATTAAGAACTCGCCATTACATAGGTTTGCTAAGCCTAGCTCTGCTGGCCGGAAAGCTCCTAGTGATGCGAGCTATAACCCTTTTGATTCTGATGATGAGTCTGATAAGAAGCCACCTACTCAAGGATCCTCTACAAAACAAAATTCTGGAGCATTGAAGAATTTGCCAAATTCCTCAGTGACCAATTCTTCCATGACCAACCCTTTTGATGACGACATTGATGATCGAGAGAAAGAAGTGAGTTCTTCCACCTCTAAATTCTCCTTCACCTATGCACAGAGGAACAAATACAAGAACGATTTTTATGACTCGGGAGGTGTGGATAATCAAAATGTAGAAGAACTAGAAAATTATGCTGTGTACAAATCTGAGGAAACAACCAAGACTGTTGACAATTGTTTGAAGATTGCTGAGGGTATAAGAGATGATGCTACTAAGACATTAGTAACTCTCCATCAGCAAGGTGAACAAATTAGAAGAACTCATGATGAGGCTGTACATATTGACTATGATTTAAGTCGGGTATGACTCTCTTACTTTTGTTCATTACCATTGAGATCGATTGTGTATAGAAGATACCCTGTCTTAAGTAGTAGAAGTTTAGAACATCTAAAATTGTAGCTCTTGGATTTAATTAACATACTTGACACATCATAATATCTCTGTTACCTGTTCATTAGGCCACTGAATATGTAATGTCTATCTGTTTTTAATTAGAAGTTGAAAATCTTGTCATTGATGAATCAGAGGAATATGCTTTGTGATCTTTGTGTCTTGTCCTCCACCCCCCCCCCCTCTTTTTATCTGAATATTAACCTTTTTATAAATACATCTTTGATAAGCTCGCTGCGATTTACGTTTTACCTTGATTTATTTTATTTTATTTTATGGCTAAACTACATGTTCATTGAAGATTTTGAACTGAAAGTGTAAGGCAAAACTTCCAAGGGAACAGTATCCCCCTCCTCACACACACACACACAGACTGTGCAATCACTTGCTCACAACCGCCTATGAACTTTTTTTTTTTTTGGCAAATAGAGATTTATTTACCAAAAAGGGGAAGAAACAATCAGCAACTGCTGAAAACACCAACCCACCAACACCCAAACAATTAATAGGTCTAAGCAAGCCTTTCCTACCCTGAAATAGCAGGAGGAAAGTAGAACATCTACAAGCAGATCTAAACACAATGTCCTTAACCAACCTATCAATACAAATACTACGATTTGTAAAGATTTGCTATTTCTACTCAACCATATACTATAAACTGTTCCGCAATCATAATCTTATAGACTTTAGCAGCAGAAGATATTCTTTTCTCCATCTTAACAGCAATCTGAACCTCAGTTGCCCAGTGAGAAATTGGCCTATGAATATGCTGCAGCTGCAGAACTTTGCTCCAAACCTCAGTTGAAATCGGACAAGCAATAAACAAATGATGAGCAGTCTCAGGCTCCAAATTGCGCAAAGCACACAAACCATCAGTCTGAATACCGAACCACCAAATTGTCCGTAGTAGGCTGTCAATTAAGAATAGCCGTCCACAAAATGAAAAGACTCTTAGGACTAGCTTGTTATTACAAATCAATCTGCACGAAGGAATTTTAACCATATCTCCTCTCAAAGCATTATACATTCTCTTGATAGTATACTTCTGACCAGAAATAAACGCCCCATATCTCCATGCTGTTGCACAACATCTCTGGACCCCCAAATTTTCTTCAACATCCAAGATGTAGCAGCAGGAATAGGCATAAAAGTCCAATCTCTACCCTTGATATAGTAAGCATTACCCCTTTTAACCCGTAGAGCATCTTTCTTGTGAGTCAAGTCCCAAAGTAATTTAATTAATGCAGCCTTATTCCAAAGATGAACATCTTTTACATTCCACCCTCCTGCAACTTTAGGTTTACAAACTGAGTCCCAGGCTATGGCCTATGAAATTAACACATCACATGCTAGTGATTATTAGTCATTATGTTTGACCACTTCCCTTCTCTTTCAAAGATATATCATATAACAATGTACGAGTAATATTGATGCGTTGTAATTCTCTCAAGGTATATGTTTCACTATGAATTGGTGGTTATCTTTTCTGCATAATTTCTTTTGTCATTATATTCATGTATTAGGATTCTAGTTCTTTCTTTCTACTGAAATTTTGGATTATACCATTTCCTTTTGTTTAAGGACCCGTGATTAAATATCTGTTTAATAATTGCAGGGGGAAAAGCTTTTAGGAAGTCTTGGGGGCCTATTTTCTAGGACTTGGAAGCCAAAGAAGACTGCTCCAGTTAAAGGCCCTGTTGTTTTGAGAGGTTTGTTTCATTTCTCGTGTTCTAAAATAAAAGCCGCAGACATAGCTTTGCCTCTTATATCTCTTTCTCAACAGATGATCCTGTTTGGAGCAAGGGTAGCCACTTGGAACAGAGGGAAAGGCTGGGATTGACCTCAGCGTCTAATGGGCATTCAAAGTCGCGGACTCCACCTCCTGAACCCACAAATGCGTTGCAAAAAGTTGAGGTATGTAAGAAAATATTACTCTGAATTTGTTGGGGGCTTTATCAAATGCTTTTAGTCTCACCAAGGAACTTTGTTTTAATATTATATCAACATGTATGTGTTTCTATAGCATATATGCTCTATTCATCCTGATTCAATATTTACATCACATATACTATTTTTAGGATATTCGATACCGGTATGATAGGATTGGTCTAACAATTATGTTGAGGTTATTTTTATTTTTAATTTCCTATATTCCTAATTATTGGGATTGGGACAATGTGATAACTAAAAAACTCCGCCTTTGGCACTTACACTACTTATTGTGTGAATCCTCTTCTGCTATCTTTGCTGTAACAGGTGGAAAAGGTGAAACAAGATGACGGTCTGTCAGACTTAAGCAATCTTCTAGGGGAGCTGAAGGTTATGGCACAGGACATGGGGTCTGAGATTGAGCGGTTAGTCTTACTTTTTTTAACCCTTGCGTATAGCTATTTCCGAACTTGAGATTTGCTGTCAACACTTGCTAATGCTACCCTCTCCAAATGCTTAAGTTTATCACCATTTGTTGTTTTTGCTGCCTTTTGTTTTGTCAAAATCTTTCTAACTCGAGATTTGTTGTATCCATTTCAGGCACAACTCCTCATTGAATGGCCTTGATTATGATGTGGAAATCTTGAACGATAGAGTTAGAGGTGCTACACAACGTGGCCGTCGGTTACTAGGAAAATGATGATCTGGAGTCTCTGCCTGCAGGACGGTAATCCCAACCCAAGAATGGTGCTGTTAAATTTCATTGTTTATTTTTTTTTCGAGGAAATGTTAAATTTCATTGTTAGAACCATGTTATAACTACTTTAATTGTCGGTTGGGACTTAAGGGTACTCGGGCAAGTGATAGTCAAGAGTTGAAGAAAATAGTGAAGAGAAACAGGAGATTTTAACTACCTTGATATTTGTTTATATTTGCACTGGATCAGTATTCGATTTTGCATTAGCTTTCGATTAATGTAAACAATAAATTTCAATCTTTCGGTGACATATTGTATAAATGTACAATATTACTCATATAACTTTTTCTGGGCCTTCATTATAGAGTATTTGTCAAATTTAGCTCTTTAAGAATATATCTGGGATCGAATTGTGTTTACAGTAACCTCAAGTAGCGTTTAGTTAGCTTGATGCTCATTTTGGGATGAATGAAAATTTTGGTTAACTTTGGATTGTTACTAGCAAAAAGCAATTCCTAGTTGATTCTCTATAACATTTCATATTATCATAGATCAAATGATCTTTTACAATGATATTTCTTCGAAAGAAAAGAAAAACCTCGAATATATAGTTTTACATAATAATTTGATAACCTGGTAACCAAGACTATATTCTAAGCATCAATAATACTCCGTATTCATCTTAGCTTGAAGATCATCCGTTTTCAGCTGTTCCTTCATTTCAAGGATAAACTTAACTTTGGGGGTGGAAGGAGTAGATAATGGATTGGCGTTGACTCGTTGAGCAACCTCCAGTTGAGAGACACCATCTGCATAAGCATTGGTGATATGAGCCGGATCAGAGAGAGAGCTGTTCTGTCGGAAACCATCTAAGGTGCGACGTTTGGTGTATTCTCTTATGTTATAGTAAGGGAATTTCTGGGCTGTGCGGAGGAGTGCGCGGAGGAGAGAAACTACCTCTGTCCTTGTTGGGGTGGTGATATGGGTTGCCATGAGATGGACTTGAGGGAGAGAAGTAGAGAAGTAGAAATTAAATATGGTTTGCGTTTGCGTTTGCATTTGGGAATGAAAATAAAAGTGTTAGTTGTAGATGCTTGTTTGTTTGATGTTGCTTAGTGCCAAGTGAGCAATTCAATGCCGCAAATATGAAGTATAAGAGCTTTTTAGGAAGAATTGATGTGTTGAAAGCGAAAAAAGGGCAACAGATGGAGTTCTTAGAGATTTTGATTTTTGAGGTTATAATGAACAAAGTTTTTGGCATACAAAAATCCTTGACATTTGTAAGAAAATCTCATTAATATGATGTGGTTTTTGGTTTTCTAGTCTTCGAATTTTAACTAATATTTGAGAGTAAAATAAACTTTTTTTAAGTGGTAAATTATTGACGCATTATGATATTTAGAGGTGGCCAGTGGGCCGGGTTGGACCCAGCCCACCCTAACTCGCACGGCTGGTGGGTCACGTGGGTCCGACCCGGTTTCAATCCGGCACAGCCCGGCACAGCTCGGATTTAATCCGGGTTGTGTCGTGGGTCCAAAATTTTCGACACAACCCATTTCAACCCAGCTCAGTTTAACCCGTTTGATTCGACCCAAATCGCACAACCCGTTTTGACTCATTTAATTCGACACACCTAGCCCGTGAACCCACCTAACCCGACCCACCTGACACAACCCAGCCCGCACGGCCCACCCGCACGAATGACCCACCCAACCCGCACGAGCCAACCCACCTAACCCGCACGCATGACCCACCCAACCCGCACGCATGACCCACCCAACCCGCACGGCCGGCACAACCCGCACGACCCGCACAACCCGCACGGCCCGCACAGCCCGCACAATTCGCACGACCCGCACGGCCCGCACGGCCTAACATCCATTTTAAAAAAAAAAACGGCTAGTTTTTTGTATCTAACGGCTAGTTTTTTGTATCTAACGGCTAGTTTTTTAAGTGTATGATCATCCATTCTATTTTTCCTATAAATACCAATTCCATTTCACTCAAATTTCCACACAAATTCAAGCTTTCTTTCTCTCTTACTTAAAAATTCTTATTGTTCTCAAATTCTCAAGTGTTATATAGAGTTATATTTTTGTTAAAAAAAATCTCCTTAATATTATTATTAGTATTCTTAAGATTCTAAAAAAAAAAAGTTCTTCTCCATATTATAATTAGTAATCATACAAAAAAAAAATGAGCTCAAGAGGAGGAATGGGAAGGAGTCAAAGTGGTGGTCGAAGTGGTAGCCAAAGGAGTGGTGGTGCAAATTTTTCGTATGAAATTAATACGGAAAATTTAAACCAATTTGTCAATGAATATGGAGATTATGGTTTAGGAGATAGGCAAAATATTCAAACGTCTCCACCACAACATTTCTCCCACGAGTCCCACCAATCATCAAGTTCAACTATGCCACCTCCATCGCAACCAACATCTCAACCTTCATCTCAAGGTAATTTCTAATTAAATTTTTATTGTTATGAATATTTAAAAAAACTATTATTAATGATTATAAAGTTAGTTTAGTTTCCAATTTTCTATGATTTACAATTAGTTAATTACCATGAAAAATGCGTTTAAATAAGTATAATTAAAATATTTAAAATTTAAAAGCTTATTTTCATGAATAGCATTTAAAAATTAATTTTAATAATTTGATTTATGAAAGGTGGTGGCGGTGAAAGTAGAGGTCGAGCACATTTTTCTTGGGTGTGGAAACATTTTGAACGAGTTGAGGTCACACCCCCGGGATGGCAACCTGGTCAACCAAAGAGGTTCACGTGTACATGCCTAGTTTGCAAGGCGCTAGGTGCAAATGTCAAGTCATATAATTGGAAAACGGGAGATGGAACCGGAACCTTGAGTCGGCATTTGCAAAATAAACACGACTTGTTCGAAAATGGCCCCCGTCCTTCGGGGGGTGGCGTCCAAACACAATTGGGTGGATACATGAACCAACCCGGCGGAGGTACACCTTTCATTTATAATAAAGATAGAATGATTGATGAAATGAGTACTTTAGTTATTGCTAATGAATACCCTTTTAGTTACGGTGAAAATGCAAACGTTGAGCATTTTAATAAAGTTGCATTACAACCTACATTTACTCGTGTCCCCCGAAATACCCTAAGACGTTATACACAAACTTCTTATTATAAGTATAGGAGTGGTTTGATTGAATTATTTCGTACTTTTGATGGTCGTGTTAGTTTTACAAGTGATACATGGACTTCTAGTTTTGGCGAACCTTTTCTTTGCATTACTGCTCATTGGGTGGATGATGATTGGTTTATTCAAAAACGTATACTATGTTTTCAAGCTATGGAAGAAAGGCATACCGGTTTTAACATCAAAGTTCGTATTTTGGATTGTTTAAAAGAATTTCACTTGAATAATAAAGTTTTTTCTTTGTCTCTTGATAATGCAACTGCAAACACAAAGTGTATTGACTATTTGAAAAATGACTCCGAGTTGAATTTGTTGTTGGGTGGTAGTCTCTTGCATGTTAGATGTTGTGCTCATATTTTGAATTTGTCTGTTCAAGAGGGTCTCGCTGAGTTGCAACCATTGCTAAACCCAATTAGAACAGTTATAAAATGGATTAGGATTACTCAGTCAGTTAGAAGAAAGTACATAGCTATGTGTAAAGAGAGAGGTCTTAAGAAAAGACAATGGTCTATTGATACCCCTACCCGTTGGAATTCTACTTTCAAGTTGTTGAGTGATGCTATAAAGTATCGTGATATTTTGACCCAACTTTACAATGAGACTCGTGTTGATCCTACTGAGTTAATAACCGAAAGTCATTGGACTAATGCTTCTTTTGTTCGTGATGTTTTAAATGCTTTTGATAGTGCAACTCATATTTTCTCTTATATTTATGAGCCTAACGTTCATTTAGTCATAATTGAGTGTGTTAAAGTTGTTCACACCATCGAAGAGCATATGAAGATTGATGGACTTCGTCCCGTTCTTGATAGCATGAAACGTAAGTGGCATACTTATTTTAGTGAATTTCCAATCATTTATGGAATTGCTGCTATTCTTGACCCCGGTGTCAAAGCTGAAGGTTTGGAAAATCTTTTAGAATTTTATTATACAAGTTTAAGTATCGATTATGATGTTAGTGAATATATTAACAAATGCAAATCTGTTTTGGGAGACCTTTATGATCATTATGCATCTATTTATGGTTTTGATTTGGCAACACCAACTACTACTAGCACTTCCGATTCTAGATTTGGTTTTCTTGATAAAGTTATGAAAAAAAAACACAAAGCATCTACATCATTCTCATCATCATCTTCTTCAACACTTGCTATTAATGATTATTTGTCATATCAACATGAGACCAACAACAACTTTCAAATTATAAAATGGTGGCAAGAACATAAAAAAAGTTTTCCTATATTGGCGAGAATTGCAAAAGATATACTTGCAGTTCCCGCTTCATCTGTTGCTTCCGAGTCTGCTTTTAGTGCAGGTAGAAGAGTGTTAGATGAAAAAAGATCTCGCTTAACTCCGGAAAGCATTCAAATTTGTGTTTGTAAGAAAGATTGGGATCAAGCTGAAAGAAGAACTCAAGGTTTAAAGGAAGACGAAGACGATGAAGATGATCCTGTGATGATATTGGAGTCGTCAACGGATGATGCAGCTTCCGGGGATGATGATGCAACAAACATGGGTGGCTAGAAAAGTCTAAATCAGGTACGCTAAGAACTACGTGGGCTTTGATTCTTTCGGGATACGTAGGCAACTTATTTTTCGAAAATTACAATTTAATTGCAAAATTAAATTTTAGTTTTCTAAAGATAGGTCCAAGCCCCCCCCCCCCAAATTTCAAAAGAAGTACAATATAAGAACTACGCTGGCTTTGATTCCTTATTTTATAATATAAGGATACGTAGACATCTTAATTAAGAGCAAGCCATCAAATTGTTAATTTTGTAAAAATTAAAACACCACACAACCCACCCGACCCTAACCCACGAACCCACCCGACCCTAACCCACAAACCCACCCGACCCTAACCCACAAACCCACCCGACCCTAACCCACCTAACCCACAAACCCACCCGACCCTAACCCACTAACCCACCCGACCCTAACCCACCTAACCCACAAACCCACCCGACCCTAACCCACTAACCCACCCTTCGACCCACCCTAACTCACTAACCCACCTTGACCCGTCTAACCCACGAACCTAGCTCGACCCACCCATGACCCGTCTAACCCACAAACCCAGCTCGACCCACCCACGATCCGTCTAACCCACAAACCCAGCTCGACCCACCCACGACTCGTCTAACCCACGAACCTAACCCTGGTGTGTCCAACTTCTCCGACCCAACCCACGACCCGGCCCACCCTACCCTACGTGTGTCGTGCCGTGTGTCATGAAACCCCAACCCGCGACCCACCTAACCCTAACCCAGCTCGCACGACTCGCACGGTGGACACCTCTAATGATATTTGGTTAATGATAATTTCTCTCCTGGCCTTAATCCTTATTCATCAACTAAGTAAAATTAATTTTTTTTAGGCCTAAAAAAAAAGTAAAAATAGGTTTGTGCCATGGCAATGGGCAATGCCTTTAAAGTGGTAAAAAAAAAAAAAAAAAAAAAAATTCCCTTTTAATATTTTCTTATATTTACAGTGTTACAAAAATAAAAATTATTTACAATAGTTAAAATCAAAATTGTGCTTTTTAAAGTGGTAAAAAAAAAAAAAAAAAAAAAAAAAAAAAACAAATTTCTTTTTATATATATATATATATTTTTTTTTTCACAAAATACTTTTAGCTAGCTGGGTGCTCCCAATTCTTCTTTCTCTGAATTTTGGGTTTGGTTAAATAGCAAGTTTACATGTGAAGCGGTGAGGACAATTGCTACTCTGCTGTGGGCTAGCTGGAGATGTCGAAACTTAGCAATTATTGAGGATGAGCATCCTAGCCCTGTGATGGTTGCTGCAGGCTTTCTTAGGTTACGTTAGTTATGGACTACAACTCCTACGCCCAGAAGGTTTTTATGCCTGCTGCTTGGTCTACTGCTGTTGGCAGCTCTGATGGTTGGAAATGCCCCCCTATGGGCTGTGTCAAGGTGAATACGGATGCTCATATTCCTACTGGGGGTATGGTGAGCTTGGGGGTGGATGATACGGGTGCTATCCTTGCTGCTGCTACGCGAAAAGCTCACACAAATGTGCCAGAACATGCTGAGGCTCGCTCTGGCAATCAGATATGCTTTGTAACTTGCTAGGAGATTGGGTTACTCTTGAATTTGGGTGGAATCGGATGCTATAAATGTTGTTCAAGCTGCGCAATTTGATGATGGTGGTTTGGCGCCTATTCACATTATATTTGATGATATTAGGAACGATAGTT